GTTTCTTGGTTCCCAGGCCCGCTGGTGGATCTGGGCATGGGGGCTGCCGTGCTGCGGCAGACGTCGGTGGGTTTCTCTCCCTCTCCAAAGGTGCTGTCTTTGCTTGCCCCGCAGGACGGACGTGCCGGGGCCCGGCAGCACCCCGGCACCCGGGCGCTACAGGAACTGCCCCCCGCCGCTCCTGGGGAACCTCCCCGAGGACTTCCTCCGCATCCTGCCCCAGCAGACCCCCAGCGCACAGGTGAGGCTTGCCGCCCCTTCCAGCCCGCGCCCCAGCTCCACGGTGTGGCACAGAGCACCTAACCCAGTCCTCGGCCACCCTGAGTGTACAGTGTCGGTGCTCTGAAAGCACCTGGGTACTGGGCACCCACCAAACCAAAAGTTTTGGAGAGCTTCTTGTTGTTCAAGGCGAGACTGAAGTGAGCAAGGTGTGAAAGGGGAACCTTCCAGCGAGGATTTGATGTTTTTCCTGCCATTAGCCCAGCAGTTAGTGCCAGAAATGCCACTTGCAATAAGCACCTGATATTTTAAATTATTTGAAAATCTTACCTGCTACCCTGGTGAGGAGCAGCAGGACCAGCATACGCTCTTGGGGAGAGCGGCACTGCCAGCACGCTCAGGGGCCGGTGCAGTGGAACTCGGGTGGAAAATCGAGTGTAAACCAGAAATCGGAGTCTCCATGTGCTTTGTGGCAGTTTCGGAGCCAAAAGGTTTGGGGTTGTGGTTGCCTTTCTGCCCACATTGGGCAGGCAGCGGGCAGCACCCCGTGGGGAACAAGCAGCCGCAGCGCAGACTGCACTGGGCACCAGCTTGGTTCCAGGAGCATCCTCAGGGCATCCCTTGGCCCCTTTGCTAACACAGGAGTCAGCCCGCTAATGGGGCCAGCACCCTGCCGGCACGGCGAGGGGCTGGGGGGAGCTGCAGGCACCCTGCCTTCCCCGTGCATCGGCTTCTCCCTCCCTTTTTGGCTCCAAAGGCAGCCTGCCACGTTTTCGTAAATGATTGCCCTGCAAGTTGAGCTTCGCGGGCTATATTACCATTCTGGGAATAGGAACGTGCCAATTCATTTGGGCTCAGGGGGAGGAGAGGAGCAGCTGCCCTTTTTTTTTCCCCGGTAATTGTGTGCTTTCACTTTTTATGGTGCTCTAAGAGCGGCTACAAATCAGATAAATATTGCAGGTGAGGATGAGGTTGCGGCTGTACAGCGTGGCTCTGCTGCTCCCCAGGTGTGAACGCACCGGGAGCCGGGGGAGAGTGTGAGGTGCCTCACAGGGACGTTTGTCAGCGGGAAATTGCAGTCTCTGCTTTTTAGATAGGAGGAAATAAAAGCAGCGACGCTGGCTGAGTCCCTGCTCCCTCGCCTCCACACCAGGCTCTGTCTTGGCTCAACCCCACAGTTTAAAGTTAATAAATCTTTGCAAGTCTGTGCTCTGCAAAGGAGCTCTCTCAGAGGCACCGGTTCCTCCCCGTGCCACTCTGACTCCAGACCAAGATGTCCCCATTCCAGCGTGGGGTGTCTGTCCCCTCCTGCCTCTGCCCTCTCCTCTTTCCCATCGGGCACCGGCGGTGGTGCCCTGACCCGCTTTGTCCCCTTTGCCGCAGCACCGTCCGGAGCGCAGCCCGGCCGGGGGGACGATGCCCCGGGCTGTCGGGTGCTGAGTGTAGGAGAAGGGGACCCCACTGGGGGGCAGCTGGGGGCTGTCGGGGCTGGGGGTGCAGCAATGGAGGAGCAAAAGACCAAGCTCAGCCTGAGGAGTGTGTGCTGCAGGGAGCCTCCTGCGTGTGCCGGCGCAGGCACCGAGACCACTGACTGACCTCTGCCCT